GCTACTTCTTTAGGCTTCTTTAGGGCTGAGCAGGGGGGCAGCTGGTGGGTGGGCACTTCTCAGGAGGCCTAAAGTCAGTCTCTGCGCGGGGAGTGAATAGAGATGGTGCATGTGCTCTGATGCTAGCTCAGCGGCAGAGGTAAGAGAAGGGAAGCCAGCTCACAGGTCTCTTTGGGAGCTTTCACATTTTGGCGACGCTCCTTTTATTCTGAAGTCTTTGTCCCTCCCAATGGTTCCCTCCTAACCTTGGTTCTTGCCCATCCCTGGCATTTCTGGCCTTTGAATGTTGGCCTTCTGGCCGGCTGAAGCGCTGGCGTCCCCTCTCTCCTCGCCTGGGCTGAGTCTTAGAGCGGGAGAAACCCAGCATCCCTCAGCTGGCCTGGTGGGAGTGTTGTCCTCCCACACGGAAAGGGCCTTTCCTTTGAGGCCGAGGCATTTGCTTCTAGTTCTTCCAACTCTTCCTAATGGTCCTTACGGAGGTCTGGGGAAAAGTCCACCCTGCCGGCTTTAATTCCGAGACACCCAACAGCCTGCGAGTTGATCTTTCTGCCACTTTTTTATTGCGCACAATCCAGTTGGCGTTGTCAAAATTGAGCTGGGGCAAGAAGGAGGAGAGAGGGCAGTGTCTCCTCTCTGGATCAGACATTCAGGGGAGCATTGCCACCACCACAGACTTGAGTTTGCATTTGGGACAGTGACCTTGCAAACAGAGCTTCCATCAGTCCCTGAGTAAATGATTCCCTTTTCTGATTACAAATTAATACATACTAATTGTAGAAAAATTAAAAATAACAAGAAAAAGAAGGGAACAAAAAATCTCTGTATCTCTGTACTCCCACCACCTTTCAAAGGTAACCTCTGTTGATAAGTTGTTGCACACACAGACAACATTATATAAAGGTTAGGGCTGTTGGTTCCATAACCATTAGGTTGAATCCTTACTCCACCACTTACTGTGATGATGCATTGGGTAAGGACTTGACCTCCTTATGCCACACTTATGGAAAAGGGCAATAATAACAGTAGCCACCCCATAGAGTTGTAGTGAGAATTACATAGGTGAAAAGATATAAGGCACTGCCCGGCCGGTGTGGCTTGATGGTTGAGCATTGACCTATGAACCAGGAGGTCACGGTTAGATTTCTGGTCAGGGCACATGCTGGGGTTTCTGGCTTGATCTTCCATGGGGGGCATGCAGGAGGCAGCCGATCAATGATTCTCTCTGATCATTGATGTTTTTCTATTTCTCTCCTTCTCCCTTCCTCTCTGAACTCAATAGAAAAATATTTTTTAAAAGACATAAGTCACTAAAAAGGCATGGAATATCACAAACACATAGTAAATGATATTTGTTATCATTCTAGTCTTCTCTGAATGTGTGTGTGTGTGAAAAATAAAATCAACCCCTGCCATCCAAAATTGGCCTGGTATTGTCAGCTGGACTTGGTAAGAGCTGACATGGGACTCACATCTAAACTTTGGTGGGCTCTTATTGAACAAAACCCATTCCCCACAACACTGATATCAGATAAGGTCATCCCGTAACTGTGATGGATCCAGACAAAATTAAAACCACTTCATAATCATGCCTGAACACAAACATGAACCTTCTCCAAACTATAAAAATGACCAAACATGTCCCTAGCCTGGCTAATAAGAGTGACTATTCTATTTTTTAAAAAACAAATGACAGCTTTAGACTTGACCTAGTCTTTTCTCCTTTTAGATAAAGATTTACTAAGGCACCCAACCATAAAACTACCCCACATCCTGACAGCTGTCAATCCAGAGCAAGCCCTGCTGCCTTAAACCTTCCTTAAAATCTCTTAACCCAAGGCCAGATCCTGCAAGTCCTAGAATACCTTCTTGCCCTCAGTTCTCTGTGGTGCATGTTTTCCCTCATTGCAATGAAAAAATAAACCCAGCTTGTTCAACTACTGGTGTGTTCCTGGTACTCTTTTGGCAGAAGGGCTTTGCCAATGTATATAAAATGTTTACACACATTTTCCACCCCTAAAATTGAAGGTCATTATAAGCGTTCTGTTTGGCAACCATTTCCCCCTCCCCCATTAAATAGATCATGAGCATTTTCTCATGTCAGTTAATACTGCTTTTAAACATCTGAATAGCTGCATAGAATTCCAACATATGGCTGAACTTCATTTACTTAGTTTATGCCATATTGTTGGACATTTAGTTCTTTTAAATTTTACTAATATATATAACACTGAGTTGAACATCCTGTACACAAATCTCTACCTGCATCTCTATTTTCTTAGGGTCAAATATCCAGCACTATCTTTTAAATAGACTGCTCCTAACCATTTCCTTTCTAATTATTGTTAAATGGTAAGGTACAAGGGCATTCCTTCACAGGGATTAAATCTCTATATATGAAAGGCTAAGCAACTGCCTGACCATCTGGTAGGTATGACGCGCACTGACCACCAGGGGGCAGATGCTCAATGCAGGAGCTGCCGAGTGACAGCAACTTTGCAGGGTGACCTCTTGCACTCTGGGACCCCTCAGGGGATGTCGGACTGCTGGTTTCGGCCTGATCCCCGCAGGCCAGGCTGAGGGACCCCACCTGCCAGAGGGTCCCCGCTCACTCCACAGACACCCTTCAAGCCCCGGTGCTGCCCCAGGGAGGGACCACTGGAGGTTGGCTCCAGGGTGTGTCCGGCCCGTCTTGCCTAGTCCCGCCCCACCAGCCACCTTCTAATTAATTTCCTTTCAATGTGCGTGAATCCATGCACTGGGCTTCTAGTATGTTGATAAAAATAAATGATGTATTCCCACTGGGGAGTATCATCTGTTACATCTGGAGTCAGTCTCTTGGCTCAGTCTTGCTCAGAGATGCAAAAGAGATTGATTACGGTGTGGAGAGAGTGGGGATTCAAAAGAAAGGCTTATTTGGTTTGGTAAAGCTAGAAACAAGTGTCTGCTTTTGTCTAGCAAGTTTGTCAATCATTAGCTTTCAATAATCCTACCACCATTTTCTGCCTGAGGAGCAAAAAATATTTTCATGCATATGTCTTAAATCTAAAGAGGTCTATGTCAATTATGAAATGACTATGCATAGCAGGATCGTGGAAAGGATATTTGGGTGGTTGCGGTTGAGGGTGGAACTTAGTATAGAGTATTTATCATTACCTGATACTTTCCTGATCTCAATAACACTACCGTATTTTTAAAAGTGCTGAGTGTTCCTGCCATTCTAAAAGATCTAGGTAAGATCTCTTGGAGAATAGAAACATATGCAGGGAAGGCCAAAGTATAACAAAGATTATGCTTTCATGGGAGGAAGCTCCCCTGACGAACATCAGAATTACCTTGAGTGGGGATGTTTCCATGAAATATCTTCTGGGACTTAGACCTGTTTTGACCAAGAGGCTGCTTTATGCAGAGCAATACTACACTTCAGAAATTTTACCCAAAGGGGGACTACTGAAGATAGTTTAAACTTGCCATTGAAGAGGGAACACATGTGTGGCAAGTCTTAATAGGTTGCATTTCTACTCAAAAGTGTGCTGATTGGACATCTAAGTCTTTCAGGATATTCTGCCAACTCAGTAGGCTCTCCATAGCATCATGAATCTTTTAGAAGAATGATCCATCATGACATAAGAAAAAAAGTAAAGCAAAATCGTTTTTTCTGAATAAACATAAGACTCGGGGCTAAGAGAGGAATATTTCATGCATGGATCCAGGAAGAAACATTTTGGAACACACTCTCTTGGTGTCTGTGTTTCTAATATAATCCAGAAGGTTGAACTGGACAGGTGCAAATTTTTGCTTTGCATTTTTTTCTCTTAACAGAAAGCATGACTTTACCTTCTTGCCAGCTTTCAAAATACTTTCAATCTCCAAGGTTCTCTTAAAATCCTAGCTCACATGTAGAATAAGCTTTCTCTGACTGCCACACCAACCTTGATTAATTTAACTCTAGTGAAAAATTTTATTGGAATTTCAGTCAGCAGGTTTCCTACTGTGGTCGACAACTATGAGAAATTGAGCAAGGGATTCCCTGCTCTCAAGGAATTTGTAGTCTAGTACAGTTGAATAAATCTACTGAGAATTAAAATATGAGCCAAAGTAAAGGAAATTCTAAAGGAGAGGTCACAACAGTTTCTGAAAAGCTCAAAAAAGGCATAGATGATATCTGGTTTGTCTCTAGTCTTCGAATAGCTTTAGCCTAGAGTTAGCATCTTGCTGTTTTGAGCTTCTTTGTTATATAGTGTTTTGTATATATGATCTATAAACATCTATATCTATAAAGATATGATATGTAAATATTACATATCAGTTTTTTGATAGCCCTTTGATCACTGGGCCGACGGGTTGAGGTCCCCTTCTCTCTTCACTTGGCATAGTCCTAAAGTTTTGAGCTTGGCCAAAGAAGGTGATACCTCCTGATTCTAAGAATTCCTGAGTAGTTCCCCTTTCCTGATATTAAACTAAGTGTATGTGAGGTTTTTCATTAAGTTAAAATAGCTTTTCTTCCACAGCATCTAAATAAGGAGAGTTTAGGTCATTTTGTTTCAGAACCAGGGACAGA